GCCACCTTAGGTGTATGTGGCTGGCGCCTTAGCCGCTTGAGCCACAGGCGCCGAGCCATAAATACTTTCAATAATAAAACTCACCTATAAATAGATTATGAGCAGCTATAAGTAGGTTTATATTAAATTATTACTACTTAATATGTTGCAGTTGTCACTTACATGCCAAAAAAGAAAATACAGTTATCTATTCACGCTATTTAATATAGAGTCAAATGCTACAACTGTGCATAAGGTTGAAGCCTTTTAGAAGACATAAGAGATATTAGTCAGAAAAAGTTTGTTAAAGCTGATTAAGCTGATCAATCATCTTCCACATGAACTTTTCTACTGATTAGCATGGCCTCTGAAGAATCTGATTATATGCTAATATTTGCAAAGGAGTAGAGTTAATGGCTTCTTTTTTACTATTTTGCCTTTGTAGAGAACTTAGAATTTGTTAATATAAAGATAAAAAACAACTTATTCCTTTTAACATTATATAAACTCCAAAGAACACAAAATATAAACATTTTACTATAAATCATTATAATTTTTACTACTTATAATACAATTGTTTGCTTACCATACTAAATGCCTCAATAGAACAAAACCTATTAAAATGCACGTAAGTAGGTACTACTGTTATCCCACTTTATAGATAAGAGAAATGGAGGTTTAGGCCAGGCATGGTGGCTCACTCCTGTGACCTAAGCACTTTAGGAGGCTGAGCTGGGAGGATCATTTGAGGCCAAGACAGGCTTGGTGCCTGTAGCACAGTGGTTACAGTACCAGCCACATACACCAAAGTTAGCAGGTTCAAACCTGGCCTGGGCCAGCTAAATAACAAGGACAACTGCAACAAAAAATAGCCAAGTGGGGTGGTGCCTGTGGCTCAGTGCATAGGGTGCTGGCCCCATATACCAAGGGTGGTGGGTTCAAACTGCAACAAAAAAACAGCTGAGTGTCGTGGCAGCCGCCTGTAGTCCCAGCTACTAAGGAGGCTGAGGCAAGAGGATTGCCTAAGCCCAAGAGCTAGAGGTTGCTGTGAGCTGTGACGCCACAGCACTCTACCCAGGGCGACAAAGTGAGA